CATGAGTATATAGTCGGTTTCATTGGTGCCATTACTGAAAATGTTTTGAAGGGTACATTTTTGAGAATACCTGCAATCATGTATGATTTTAAAAAATTGAATATTCGCAGGGGAGTTAATGCTCATCTTTGAATTCTGCGATGGCTTTAATTTGAAAGACTTTCTTCAAAACAAAATCGGCAACGGAGCATTTGTAAATCAAGTTGAAAGCACTCATTATGGATATAGAATAAATAAAAATAAGACAACACCAAGTCTACCTCGGACACGAAACGATGTGGAAATAAATAATAGACACATGCCAGATACACAAATAAATGGTTTGCTTAAATTTCTTACAGTTGAATATCATTTTGATCAATCGAGCTTTTTCTTTACAGACAATTCAGCTGATACAATTTTAAATGTAGCTGAAAATCAAACGAAAATATATACGACAACAGATCTGCTTCGATGGTCGACCCAAATAGCGAACGGATTAAAATTCTTGGCCTCGCACAATATTGTGCACTGTGACCTGGCTGCCAGAAATATCATACTGTGTGGAAATGACATTAAAATATGTGACTTTGGTTTGGCGCGTGTGATTTCCAAGAATGAAATATATAAAATGACAAATGGGGTAACTTGGCAAGAGAAATAATAAGTTGGCTATTCAATAATTGTTCTTTATGCATATAAATATAGAGCCACTTTTCGCCCAGGTGGATGGCCATAGAAGCGCATAGAAATGAATCAATTTTTAATGAGAAATCGGACGTATGGTCGTTCGGATTGGTAATGTTGGAAATGTTTTCAGAGGGACAAGATCCATTTCCGCACATTTCTGATGACGATATCAACGCTGATACCATATTAACAGAAATAGAGGCGATGAACGACGATATGTCACGAAAACCATCCTATACTACTCAAAAAATGTATGAAAATCGTCCAAATTGATGTTATTTTATATCTTTTCATTGCATTTTTATTCTCTTTTTATCCATTAGATACAACATAATGCTTACTTGTTGGGAAATTGAACCAGAAGAACGGCCATCATTTGGTGAATTGGAAAGAGACATTTGCGATTTAGTAAACGATGAAGAAGATGTTGAAATTGAAGATTATTCGGAGAATTTTGAGTGTGATGACTACGAAAGACCATTAGCAAACTATTTTTAATATATTATTATAAGTATAATCAGATTTTGCTGCCAATTTTTAAACTGTAATTGGAAATTGAAATCATATCAAGTTATAGAGTAAGATAAAAAAATTATCAAGTCAGTTCGACTTATGAGACAGTTCGGCTATACATTCTCTGTCTACACATTAACTATGCATATGCTAGCCTTCATAAGTTAGAACGTACAGATAACACAGTAACATTTGTAAAGAAAGTCTTTGGACTAAATTCAGACGTTGCCATTTGAACAACAAACACACAATATTAAATTCGTTTTTATTGGTATAAACCTTTATTCATAGGCTATCGAATAGCACATTCACTTTGCACTGAATGGACCATTGTCTACGATTTTTCTCAATGTGTATCGAACCATCAAAATTATGTTCTGGACAACCGATTTGTCGATTTCTTTCAACTTTCTCTCAATCCATCCAACCAATTGTTGATCGTTTCAAGTATTTTGGACCTTAGCCTATAACATACATCCAAAAACAGACTAGAAATAACTAATTTGTTGTCTTTTTATGAAGTTAAAAAGATGGTCCTTTTTTCACGGAAAAGCTATTTTTTAAGAAGTGAGCCATTATTGTGGTTTTTCTGCTTGCAAAGCACAATTTTCTCTTTATTCAGATAGATCTCAACGAATTCCATTGATTTCAACAATAACTGGTTGATAATGGAGCAATTAATGGAGGTTGAACCTAACGTTTCAACACTAAATTTTTGAATAACGGCTCTAAAACACCTTCCAAAGAAGATCCTAGCATACAAACACCACTTTATCAAAGTTCGGTTTGTCGGCGTCTCTAGCCTTATATAGTAGTGCCCCAACATAATCGATGCAAAAGAAACCACTTGCACTTGATTCGTAGTTCGATATAGCGATGTATGTTTCACCGTTCAAAATAATGAATTTTTCAGTGCAACATGCTATAAAGTGAAGTAAACACACAATTTTTGACACCCTTTGGAATTTTTTCGTTACACATTTTGCTGATTCCTAATGATCCTATCTAAATCTATTGTTTTGGTTCAAATTTGGATGTGCTGCAACCATAAGAATCACCAAAAATGAACGTTTGCTTGACCAATCGGTTTTCGGTACTTGATGACAGTTTTGAAAGGTTTGAGCACTCAGATATGGAATACGACCGGACTTTTGGCTTTTTCTAGAATTCTCATCTTCATACTAAGTCCATGAAATACGATACATGGTTCGATGAGTGATTGGTTCATCTTTGGACACATGCAGAATTTGTTTTGAAATTAGCTTGTCAAAACCATTTGAGACACTTTTTCGTAAATCCAATTTGTACGTCATCGCGAATGGAAATTTTTCGTCGAATTGAGTTTGATAGTAGAGTAGTAGTCCCGTTATGCCTCCTGGGTGCATTGGTTGACATTTTTGATTTTGTTTATGTAGTGCAATAAACGCCTGAATTTAGTGTAAAAACTTTCTACTCACATGTTAACTGTTTATGACAACAATAGCATGATTAAACATTTATCGAAAACATGAATTTTGCTGAGATCAATATTTTGCATTAAATATCAAATGAGTCACATTCATTTTTGCATATGCAACAAAACTATAATTCTTTCGTGAACAGAAATAAAAGAATGAAACGATTAACGCTACAATTGCAACGTAAGCATTTCTGAAAAGTATAAATATGGGTTAGTAGTAAGAAGAGTCAGTTTTACTTTTCCGCACACATAGTGTAAGGTAAAAAGTATTGTAATCGGTCAAAATTTTGAAAACTTCAGAAACATGTT